ACTGAGGTGAAGTTTCACTGCAGTCGAAGCTGGGATGAGGTCATCAACACTTCAGAGACCTCACAAAACCACACACACACACACACACACACACACACACACACACAGAGGAAGTGATACTGATCCGGTCCGACAGACACACACTCATCCCGCTGAACACACTGATTCAGAGCAGAAGCCATCAATAATCGATCAACTGTTCTGATTAATATTCACCAATAACACTAATTATTAGCATTCTTATTATTGTTATTGTTGTTGTTATTAGCATCGTTATTATTATTATTACTAGTATTAGTGTTGTTATTATTATTAATATGAGCATTATTGTTGTTATTGTGGCAGTGCAGCGTCTCCGTTCGTGTTGCTGGACTTTTAAATAAACGGTCTTTAACCTTTTATTCTGTAAATTCTGCAGTGATGGAAAGTAACTAAAGACATTTAAGACTTTACTCGAGTACCGGTGATTTAAAACTAAGTTAGAGTTAAAAATGACCTTTTTGAAATTTTCGATATTTTAAATATATTTTCCTAATTCAACAACTTTTTCGCTGATGTTTTTGTCAAACGTTTTAAAAGCATTTGTCTAATGTTGGCTGATGCTTTGTGATGTTTGTCTGCTCCATGTTTCCCTCTGAGCAGCAGAGCTCTCTGACGTAGCAACAGATCCACCAAACTGCTCACTAACGTCACTAAATGTTCCAAAGATCCAACATGTGAGCAGAAACCTGAGAACAGATCAGTGGATCAGAACCGGGGTCCGGTTCGGAGCCTCAGATTTCTCTTATTTCCTCATAGATGCAGTTTGACGATTTAATTGAACTGTTCCTGTGTTTTAACTGATTAATCAACACGTAACGACACAAGACAACAGCTGCTGCCTGCAATCCATCAGCGTTACCCAAAACAGTAATCAGATTACTGACGTGTTTAGCTAGCATGTGTCCACCGGTCCCACAATCCGCTTCAGTAAAGTCGCTGTGTTCACATTTGTTTTCTCTCTGTTTGCATACTCGGTTCAGAGGTATTCCAGCAGGCCCAGAGTAATCAGATTACCGTTATTGTGCTTGGACCGAGTCCTCCGACAGCTAATTAGTGATCTCTGCGTCGACACCGTCTCCGGCTGCAGCAGCATATTTGTTCAATGAGCCGAGCTGATGTGAAAACCAGAGAAGAGTTTATGAAACACCAGCGCTGCCGTCGAGGCGACGCGGCCGACGGAGAAACAATCGTTTCCTGCTGCAGACAAAAGGAGAAAAACAACAGAGTCTGTAAAAGCTCTTAGCTGAGGTTGAAGCTGGATCAGCAGCACCAAGCTGCACCCAACAAATACACCGTTCAGAAACACAGACAATAGTTCATAAACCCAGTAAAAGGTTCTGTTTCCATGTCAGCTGTAAAAAAAACACCAGACATCATGTCCACACGGTGCACTTTATTAAAACTACATTTAAATCAGCAGAACTACATTCATTTAAAGAAATTTGCTGTTAGTTGAAAGAAACTTTATATAAATCATTTTCTGACTATTAATTTACAGCATTGACTTACATTTTATCAGTAAATTAATTAAAAAACAGGCTGTAAATAATGTCAAAGGTCTGTGCTTCTATAAATAGTCATTCTGTAACACTGAGTAAAATTACAACTCAGTTATTTTACAGATGCTTGCTCCTATTTTCACAGTTTTTCTGTTTTATTTTTTGACCTCCTGCTGCCAGATTTTCATTCTTTTATAGATTTTTCTAGATTGTGTGAGTCAGAGAGGAGCGTTGTGTTGATTCATTGTCAGTGTCAGTAAGTCTGTGGGCTGCACTCATGTGTGGAGATGTTATCGGCACCGACACAGTCGACTTCCAGAACCAGCATCGGGCTGATTCTGATCCGTCTGTGAGCTTTGAAGCCGGTCAGAGTGTGACGGGGGCCAGCAGCATGAATCATCTCGGGTCGGGTTTAACGGCCGCGTCTTCTGAACATTTAACAGTCTGTCTTTTGAAACGTGTGCTTGAGCTGCAGGTGAAGTAAAGGACTCAGATGATCCTCATTCATCTGCTCTGGAGATGATAAATTACTTTTTTAGATTCTGTCACCTTGAAGTTTGTTCTTTAAACCGTTCGACTCGTTTCACCAGAATGTGTTCGTCCATTAAAGAAAAGGCAAAACCCACAACAGTCCCTCAAATAACTAGAAACTGGAAAAAGTAATAATAAATTAAAAAAAAAAAAAGCTAAATTAGGATTTAGTGAAATAATAATTTAATTTTAAAAATATAATTTATAGAAAACACTTGACTGCAGTGATTGGCTCAACGCTCCCATCATGCTGGTTTGATTGTTGTTTTTGTTAAAAATATTTATGTTGAACCACAATTCAAAAGAAACGTCACGATGTTCATTTAATTCTTATTTATTATTATTTTGTTGCTGAAGCTGTTTGTTTTTCTTCTTTGGTGGCAGCGTCTGGGCACGTTTCTCATGTTGCTCTAAGTGTTTCTGAGGCATCTAAACCACCCGTTACTTGGAAAACTTAGAAACCTAAAGTTGACTTTCCTTAAAATGAAAGATTTAAGTAAATCTAATTTAAAACCATAAAATGAATCTGAATGAACTTAATTCTGCCGTGTGTCACTAGCTGAAGTATTTCATTTAAGTTGTTCTTCTGATGGACTGAAAACCTTTTCAGTTGCAAACATTATTTAAAAATTAAAAATGGGAAAATCTGGCAGCAAGGATTCCTGATAAAAACTTTAAAAAAACCAAAACAAAACAAAAAACCAGCAGAAATCTAAAAAATCAAAACAGACCCCGAGAAACAACAGCACATATCTTTTTTTATCGTTTACAACTTTTCAATCCTTAATAACAAATTTATTTTTAACTAATTATGACAAAAGTTTTTTTTTTGCTGATTTCAAAATTCTAATTTTGCTTCAAACCGTGTAAAAGAACAAATGTCCATCTGAAGATGTGTGACGTGATGTTTGGTCCTTAAACCCTCAGATATTTGTCACATTTACTTATAAAACTGAGCAGAGATGTAAAAGTGATGAAACCGTTATCAACAAAAAACCTCCAATAAACCAAAGAGTTCATCTGAGTGGACGTTCCTGTTCTGTGCCGTAGAGATGCTGCCGCTGACGTCCAGGCAGCCTTCAGTGATACCAGCCTGACTCACTGGATCAATCCATCACATTTTAGTCTCTAAAATCCTCAAGATGTTCAGTTTGCTGCCACAGAGGAAGAAAGAAACCAGAAAATATTCCCTCAGAGTGGTTCGTTGATGATCAGAATCGTTGGTGATTAATCAGATAGTTAACGACTCATTGATTATTGATCTATATCCGTTATATCCTGAACTCTCTCCTTCACATAAACGCCACGAAACGACGCAGAAAAGTCGGTGCCTGAAGCTTCGGCCGGACCTCCAGAATCCTTGCTTAATGAAACCTGAAAGAAAACCTACACATGCATGAAAATTTATTAAAAACATCTCAGTCACGGACCCCGGAGACCGGGCGTCGCCACGGCAACGGCTAATAGGAATCCAAATAAACGCTGATATACGAAACTTTCCCTCCGCCGTAAATATACATCCTTCATTCTGCTCATGGCTTACTCACTTGAAACCGCACACACACACACACACACACACACACACACACACACACTCTCACTTTACCACCTTGTGTGCTGCTTCGTCCCCGTCATGCATGTGGAACACATTGTAAAACTGAAGCATGCTGGCTGGCTGTGGGTTTGTGTTGGAGCCCACACACACACACACACACACACACACACAGCAACACACACACACTCCATAAAACAGCCCACAGACAGCGTGTAGCGCCCGTGAACACATGCTAATGCTAAGCTAACTGTGCTGAGCGTGATGATCAGCTGCTCCTCATCCAGAACCTTCTCCTTCATCAGGTCTATGGACATGCAGGACCTAGCCAGTCCTCATAACCGAGTGGGAGGTGGAGACTCAACAGGCTCCAAACTGGACAAGAACAGCCTGGGCAGCCCATCCATCACCACCAATGGAACCGGAGGTGAGGCGGGTTCGGTCCAGTTGTTGACAGACGTTATTAGTACCTGGGGTGATCTTCTGCTCACAAATTTATCTTCACCCTCCTTAACTGAAAACAAACCTGTCGACACAACCATCACTTTACAGAATATGTCACCTAAACACCCCAAAACCAGTCCAGACTCTAACAAACAGGTTCTACTGGTCTGCAGCAGCACGGGACACCAGACAGAACAGGCTTTATAAGTTTAACAGAATAGCATGGAATAGTTCCAATCCAGTTTTATTATTTAGTTCCAATCTGAAGGTAAATGTGGAGTTAGAGGGTAGATGTAGAGTTAGAGGGTAGATGTAG